TGCACTCCTTTACTCCACCTCTGTACAATGACTCAGCTAACCAGTCCAATAAAAGCCTTGTTTTCATCTTTGTTTGGGGAGGCACTGCTTTAGGGAACTATCTCCAGTGACTTCCTTACTTGTTGCGAGTAATAAAACCCCCTTGCTATATCCTCCTTGGTTGGGGTCATTGGACTATAACCTGCCAAGTGATTGAACCCACCCATTGTGTGGGTAACAAAATCCTGGTGACCCAAATGGGACTGAATTCCACTTGGGTACTTTGTTTAGAAATTATAGCAGATAGAAGGGGAATGGTTCTGGGGTATGTTTTTAATATTTCTTGCTGACTTGGGGTTAGGTTGTATTCTTTACAACTTTTCTGATCTTATTTTTAATAGATAATAATGTCCGGGTGTGGTGGCTCATTTCTATAATCCCAGCACTTTGGGAGGCCAAGGTAGGCGGATTGCTTGAGTCCAGGAGTTCAAGACCAGCCTGGGAAACATAGGGAGACCCCCCCATCTCTACAAAACATAAAAAAGTAGTCAGATATGATGGTATGTGCCTGTATTCCCAGCTATTTTCAGAGGGCTGAGGTGGGAGGATTACTTGAGCCGGGGAGGTTGAGGCTGCAATAAGCTGTGATTGCACCACTGCTCTCTAGCCTGGATGACAGAATGAGACCCTGTCTAAAAAAATAAAATGAATGATATATCCACATGATTCAGAATTGAAGAGGTACAAAATAATATGCAGTACACTCTTTCTCCCAACAAACAAATAAAAACAAACAAAGACAAAAACAAAAGACAAAAAAAACAAAAAAACTCTTTCTACCCACTGTGACGTAGTCACCTTGTGTTCTTCCCTGAAGGCATCCAAAAGTCAATTTTGTTTGTTTCAACTTCTGGAGATGGCTTATGAAAATATAAATAAATGCATCTATATTCAACACTCTTTCAGAAGAAATGATACCTACTATACAACTGCTTTCTGTGCACCTTGCTTTTTTTTTTTTTTTTTTTAATACTTTGGCATGATGATTTTTCTATATCGGCACGAAAAGAGCTTCCTTTTTCTTTGTTAATTGGTGGTTTTTATGGCAAACAACTGAATCCAGCCTAGATGGTTAAGTCAAAAAGGGATTAGGATTTTAGGTAACTCATGGAACCCTTTGGAGGGCTAGAGGAATAGGCTGGCATCTGAGTGCACAGAAACAAAGCCCCAAGACACACATAGTATTAGTAATAAGTGGAAGCCATCCATGCTGCTGCCTCCACTGAACAGCAGATGCTAGGTATTTGACTTAAGTGCAACTGCTTCTACCTCCACTCCTGCACAAGGAAGGCAGCCTAGCAGTGACACCTGCAAAAGTAGAAGCTCTGAAAAGAGCCTCTTGCCTTACATTTCTCACTTCTAAAGCAAAGTCTGGTGTGGATGTGTCTGATTAGTGGAGACTAGGTGACACATTTGCATCTTAGCTTCAGTTGAGTCTGGGAATTTTATTCTCAACTTTTAAACTGGGAGGTGGGACTTGTAATAGGTAAAATTTCTGCAAATAGAGAAAGACTTCAAAAGATGATGGAGTCACAGATATGGCAAATGTCCACCAGAGCTGCTTAGAATTCCATTGTGTGGATCAACCACAATTAATTAAACTAATATCTTAGCTGGTGGACCTCTAAGTGTTTTCTAGTTTTCTAGCCTGTGACTTAGGCAATACTGTATTAATGACCACATGCATATGTCATTTTGCTAATGTAAAATGGAATATGAATTTCTAGCCATAGAATTGCTTGGTCAAAAAGTAAATTGTAATTCTTATGGATATTGCCAAATGGTTTCTGGATGCTGTACTGATGCTTGCTTCCACTAGTGATGTTCCAGATTTTTTTTTTTTTTTTTTTTTTGCCCAGAGTCTTCTCCTTTTTTAGACTACATCTGAGCCAGAGTGGCAGGCTGAGTCTTCCCTGCTACTGGGGTGAGTTTTGGGCCTTGGCCCAAGAATGCTGACAAATCAGATCTGGGCCATAACCTATGCCAATATAGCTTGTATTTAGCATCTGGACTGGATTTGGCTTATAGTTTATTGTAGGCTTACTAGACCTAAATTAAATGGCATCTTGGGGGATTTAAAAGATAACATAACTTCCAAAATTGATTTGCAAGGTAGGAGTAGCTTACATCTTGGAACATTATGTGTTCACAGATGCATAAAGATGTTTTCAAAGAATGTTTCTAAAGAATTATAACACCCTTTCTCTTTAAAAAAGCAAAATCTTATTTCTAATGTGTGAATTATTGCATAGAATATGGAAGCTGGTGTGTGAAGGTGTGTGTGCCTGAGGACGGGACCTGAAACAGTCCAGGCAAGAGCGAAGAATCTGGATTTTGCTAGCTGGAGCAGAGGGAGAATAGAAAATAGGAATGCTCTTGGAGAATTCTTCCAGGCCCTCCCACTAAGAGTTTTTATATTTTTAAATATTTCTAAGGAAACCTTTAATAATACTTGAAAGAGAAAAGCTTATTTAAACTTTTGAACAGTTCTGAAAATTTATTAGATTTCAGCCAGGAAACAAAGTATTATTTCAGGCAAACTGGAGCATGTGTGGACTGGTTACTCAGCACAGTAACCTAATCTTGCAGAATTAGGTAGGAGGGAAGCTATTTTAGTGGCCTTCAACCTCCTTCTAGAACTTTGTTCCGATTTCTCCCAAATGGTCGGTGAATTCTTCTGATTTGTATCCAGCATCCCAGACATTTAGTGTACATCTGTAAGCTGTAAGGAAATTGATTTCATCTATTCCTTTTTTTTTTTCATCTCTTGCCTTCCACCTGAGAAAACACAAGTCCATAGGTTCTTATTCTGTATTAGGAATTTGCACGATGTGTAACCTAAGATGGATTCAGCTGGAAGTGTTACAGGTTTGGAATTTAGACTAAAGAAAAGGAGTAGAATCTTTTCATTTTTTTCCCTTTATTTTGAAGAAAGCTCAGTGATTTGTACTGTTTGAAGGAACAATGATATAAAAGATCTCCACTAATTGAGTATCTGGGATAAACTTTGTTTTTTATTTCCACCTTATTTTCTTTAGATACCATTAGACATTTCTACCCACAACTTAGAGCTTTTCCATGAAGACTTTAAACTTAGAAAACTTTGAACCTTGACGAATGAAAAACACCTTTCAGAACTAACCTGTTGTGGTTTTTGTTGTTGTTGTTGTTGTTTTTAATTCAGAAATCCTAGGCTTATGAGGCTCTATGTGTAAGTTCCAAAGGCTTATAATTCTTTTCTCTTCCTTGAGGCTTGAATATTTCAGAATGTTGTTGGTATGTCTCTTGGAGATTTGGTGTACAAAGAGCAAGAAAAGTAACCTATGGGCTTTACTCACTTATGTGTATATATTCTACTTTGGCTCCAAAGCAATGATTCTAGTGGTGATATGGGACCAAGGGACAGTTTTCAATGTAAATAAGGTCGTTTGCTAATGTCAAATTAAGGTATTAGTCTTCAAGTACCATAAATGTTTTACCAGCAATTTCAGTTATGTGTAGTTAAGAGCTTTCCAGTTTGATGTGGTAGTTACGGTAATGGAGCAACTGAAAGTTAACTTGATAGAAAGTTATCAATCACTGAAAATACAGTTGTTATTTTTTTTCATATACCAAGAATTACTATTTTTTTTCTTTTTTAAAAATAGAGATGGGGTCTTTCTATGTTGCCCAGGCTAGTCTTGAACTCCTAGCCTCAAGCGATCTTCCTTGAGTCCTCCCAAAGTGCTGAGATTATAGACGTGAGCCATTGTGCCTGGCCTACAATTTCTTAATATTAGGAGTTATTCTGCAAGACAACTATCTTGATGTTGGAACTATACTAATGTTGATGTGATTTTTTCCATGTGTGGGATATCTTAAGATGTGTAAGATGTGTAATGTATATATTCACAATAAGGGCTATGTTATAAAACTCAGAGATATTTTATTTTTGAGGGTATGTTTCATTCACTTGATTGAACATTTATTGACTGTATCTTGGGTGCCTATCCTTATGCTAGGAGATGAATGGAAGTTGCCCCCTGCCCTTGAAGAGAAGACATTTTAATGGGAAGCAGAGATAAGTAGATAATTATAATGTGATAAATTTGGAAATAGTCACAAAAAATTGGAATATGGAGATTTTCAAAAGCACGCACCCATCACCAAACTTCAACAATTACTAACTCTTGGTTATGCTTCTTTCACCCATGTGCCACACCTCCTCCCCTTCCTCCTTTTATTTTGAAGCAAGTCTAAGACAGTGTATCATGTGATGGACATTAATAGATACTTGGATAGAGTACTCTGAGAATATATTGGGAAAATAAGCTGTATCAGGGAAGTGGAAAGGAGCTATAGAAAAGTAACATTTGAGTTCAATCTAGGTGGGGAGGAGGATGTTATTGTTCCAGGTGATGGGATGGAAACTGACAATTATTGCAGTGTCTTGAAAAATGTGTGTATAGAACTTTTTTGTTCCTCCTAACTGAGCACCCAAGATGTAATTTCAAAGATTAGGATATTGTTTTGCCTGAGGACTTTATAAAAATAATTAATTCACTTTTAATTTAGATAAACTAGAATAATCCATGAATAGTGGTAATGACTAATCTGTTCTCTTTTCACCCTAGTGACTTTCTAGACTTTGAACATTAGCATCCACTCCCTGAAAAAGTCACTCTCATTTGTAACCAGAGCAACAGCTAGCCTTGGTCACCTTTGTTTTTCTTTTTGGAAGAGGAGGAATAATCAGTGACTCACTTCTGAAACATCATGCATAGGTAGAATTTAGTAATCTGAATCAAAAGCCTCCCATTAAACCGAAAGAAGAGGAAATTGCCCACTGGGAACACATGGGTTATCAAGGGACTTTTTTTATTAGCCACTAGGTGAAACCTTTGAGATTTCATCATGTATCTTATCTCATTTTCCTGTGGTGAAATTGGGTGTTCAGCATTGTTTTTGTTGTCTGTTCTCAGATCACAGAACTGTGTGGTGCAAAGCGGGTTGGTTATTTTGGTCCAACACAATTTTACGTTGCCCTGAAATTAATTGCTGCAGCACAATCTGGCCTCCCAGTGCGGATAGAGAGTATTAAATGTGGTGAGTATCTCACATTTGTATGTTTTATTGTCCATGGAGAGTTGCCCATTTATAAGAACCATTTTTAGTGGGTTTAAACCTTTGTGGAATTTCTCCTTGCTTCTTCCAACTCTTCTGCAAAATAAAATAAGAAAACTTAGCGGGTAGGTAGCTTAGTTTCTTTCTTTTTTAAATGGGAGAAAACTTCAGACAGTAAGCTGAGATTAGTTCATTTTAACTGATTTACAGTTAAAATAGATTTTATTCTTTAGCAGGATGAGATTGGGCCAGGAATTCTAGAGCCTGTGGGAAATAATCACATTGAGTTTAATTTTCCACTTGAGGTATCTATAATGTTATTGAAGGCTCTGTTAGGGATTAGGGGAAGAATAACAAGGGAGTTTGAGTGGAATTATGCCTTTTCTCTCTTTCCCATCCCTGCCAGTGCTCAGCCTTTAATTCTCAGTTCCCAAAGCACTATTCTGATGCTAGTAAGTTCTTGAGGGGTACCAAAATTTTGACAGAATGAATTTGTCTTCTTAAAGTTCTGATTTAATATTTTCTTATCTTGCCATCTCTACCTTCAACCCACTATATGCTTGAGCACTTTCTACAATTTAAACAAAAAGCAAAGCCCCCAACTATTAGCGATATTTCTACTGCCTGAGGATTGGCTTTAAAAATCTGTGAAAAAGATGGTTATTCAAGGGATGTGCCAAGGTTCTCTGATAATTCATTGTGATACAGATTACTTTCATATGTCCATACAGGTACGCAGGAACTTTTTTTTCCCTTTTTCTCATTCTGAGATTAAAAACCTCTTAACTATTCACACCTGTCCTGTGAAGTCTGATTGACATACAAGTGGATTCAGGATTTATGGCCAGCTCATGGAAACCACGTAGGACAATCCAAATGGCTGAAAAGATTGCCATACATGGCTGGCTGTGGAAGACCAAGCCCTTCACATTAACCAATCAGGAGGTGGCAGTCATCATGCTAATCTTTATCAGGGGGCTAGTGTGTGCCAGACACTGTTTCATTTAATCCTCATGACACCCTACTAAATTAGGTATTTGTGTCGGTTTGCATTGCTTAGGGTAAGCTGTGATAACAAATGCTGTTCACAATGTCAGTGCCTCAACAAGATGGAGGTACATTTCCCACTTTGCAGTGGGTCAGTGTGACCCAGGGCAGCTGCTCTCTATGTGGTGACTATGTGATCCTGGCTGCTTTATCTTGTGGTACCTCCAACACAACACCTGTTCCCATCTCACCCTAGTAGTTAAATGCTTTGGCCTAGACATGACTGAAGTTATTGCTGCCCACACTGTGTTGGCCAGAACTTGTCACATTAATCTGCTTCAACACAGAGCAGATGGGAGAACACAGTTCTCTCCTGTGCCTGCAAGGAGAGGACAACTGCAAGTCTCTACTGTGGCTTCACACTGCAAGTCTCTACTATGGTGCTGCTGTTGTTCGTATCTTATAAATTGGAAATTTGAACATTAGGGAGGTTGAGTAACTTACCTAAGAACATAAGGTTAGTAGAATTTGGAGTCAGGATCTACTTCCAGTCCCCATGCTCTTAATTTCTATGCAAAATAGCCTTGTTTCAATTTTTTCGATTTAGTAAGATGCTGATGGTAATCTGTTATCATGTAGTATTTTCTGATTGGGAAAAATATCGGACTCGAAAGGCATCCCTTGGTATGACAGAATTTGGTTCTTTGGAATAGGTTTCTTTTTT